CAACAACAACAACAACATAACCACAACTACTAGCTCAAACACCAGCTCCGGCACCATCACCTCTAGCACCTTCATGGATTTCATGAAGAGAGCCACCATCAGCATTTGCATGACGAAGCTAAAGAGAATGGTTATATGTACGGCTCTAGAGCCCGACAGGAGCTCTTACGTTGTTTCTCATATTGGCTGGTTCCCCCACAACTCCGCATGCATTTTGCCCCAAAATCTTCTCGCCGACTGTTCTTGTCTTCTGTGCCGTGGTCCTTGCCAGCAGTCATTAGTTCCGAAGTTCTACCTGCCCTGAAACCCAACAACCAAAACCCTAACCCGAATGCATTGAACGACCACCCTCCTTCAACTGCTGCGCGCCTTTAGGTCCTCCTGCGACTGGAGCAGTCGACCGAACTGCCCATCCTGCTGGATCACAGGCTTAAAGCGGTATACTAAATATATATATATATATATATATCTGTATGTGCATATACATATACACACATTACATACATATATATATATACACACACTTTATACCATATCATAAACTGGTATATGTGTGTGTATACACATATATACAAAAAATACACAGACAGGATCTTCCCTTTCCGGTTGATCCTCATTCATGGAAGGCTTGCTAGAACAGCAGAGGATCCCCGGAGTGACCCTGAACCATAGACCTTCAGTGGGCTTCAAGTGGGTCTAGAAGAAACCCAAAACTCAAAGCCTAGGGTTTATAGGGTTTTGGGTTTAGGGTTTAGCTACATAGCTTTGACAACTTAGATCCTATAATCCTGCATACCCTAAACCTTGCGGAGTGTGGTACAAGACTGGCGCGTCGAGCACGCTAAGCAGCGCTGAGTCCCTGAACCCTCAAATTCCCAACGTCTTCAATCCAACTGGGCCCTCAGAGTTAGCACAGCAAAACCCACATACCCACCCTGTGCAGTTTTACATCCTGAAAGCCCAAACCCTGGACCCTGGACCCTGCCTCCGAGCCAAGCACGCGTCCTGGGCCGCCCGCGCGGTGCAGCGCCGCGAGCATGGACCTGGCGGCTCCACAGCTCAAGAAGGCCATGAGTATAAGTAATCAGAGTTACAACCATGGAAAAACAGTAATGCAGCAGAAGTTGCCGCGGAGTAGTCGCTGCAGCAGCAACAGCAGCGGAAGGAGCTGAAGCAGCAGTGCAGTACTGGTAGCAGCAAAACGTGACAAACTCTGGAAAACAGGGCACACAGCATGATTCAAGCTTATCAACCGCTGGACTGGGGTCGAAAGGGATGAGCAGCTGCAGGGATTCCGGAATTCCCAAAAAAGACACAAGACTGGTTTCCAAACAATCAGAGGCTGCGTTGGGGGTGGACACCGTATACGAGAAGTATGAGGATAGTAAAACTGTAACGGCATGGTATTGCCAAAAGTAGCTGTGCATGGGGACGGGTCCAAGTGAGTGTTCTTCCTGAAATCATGTTGCCTTTCAGCTGCTTCTCAATAGAAGACATTGAACCAGGCTCCTTAACCCCCTAAACCCTAAACCCTAAACCCTAAACCCTGAACCCTAAACCCTAAACCCTAAACCCTGAACCCTAAACCCTAAACCCTAAACCCTAAACCGCCGGAGCCCTTAAACCCAAGCCTTAAACCCTCTACCCTGGAAAGGAACCTCGCCAGGGCCCCTCCCGAACCCCTGGGATCCTCTTTGAGTAGACCAGTACTTGGAGGATTAGCAAGTGAGGTTATAAGTACCTTCATGGGAGTTATAATGAACTATAACTATAGTTACCGTAGTTATAAGTACCTTAATGGGAGTTATAATGAACTATAACTATAGTTACCGTAGTTATAAGTACCGTAATGGGAGTTATAATGAACTATAACTATAGTTACCGTAGTTATAAGTACCTTAATGGGAGTTATAATGAACTATATCTATAGTTACCGTATTTATAACCCTAATTACTAAGCCCCATGATCCTTTAAATAGACACTTTGAGAAACTACAACAAGGAGGACCCGCACAAGGACCCTGATTTAGAAACTCCCTCATGCCTCGTACGGTTCAGCTCTTCCGTCACCAGCTGTAGCTGCTTCTGCGCCTCAAGGATCCCAAAGCTCGACCGGGAATTGTGGGGCAAGGGGCTCTCCTATCCCTAAACCCCAAACCCCAAACCCCAAACCCCAAACCCTAAACCCTAAACCCTAAACCCTAAACCCTAAACCCTAAACCGCAAACCCTCCTAGCCCTAAAGCCGCAACCCCGAAGGAGCGAAACGTAGGGCATCACGCTCCTAGGTCTCATGCTACCTACAGAATTACCTGCACCATTTTGGGGGTCCTTTACTATAAATCATAAAATAGGGGCTTTAGGTCACGAGGTGTTGGGACACATCCGGCCTGGTTGTGATTAGATGCTGAGATCGGGCCCAGTCCGAACCCCACCGTGACCCTACATACACCCTAGGGTTTAGGGTTTAGGGTTTAGGGCCATGAGTCATGATTTTCTCATTCTACGTTCGGAGCTAGGTGCTTCTTACCCAAGTAGCTGCATGGGAAACATGAGGGACACCAAGTTCGCTAAGTTGTTGAGGCTGCTGTGTCTCCAGACCTGTGCTCCCTCACCCGGATGTCTTCTTCATTCTTCTCGTAACCACGGCAGGGAAAGGCGCCACCTAACTCGAGGACGAAAATGTTCGAAGTGCAACCCCGAGCTGCCAATGACATCCCAAGGCAATATGGGGGTTTCCGAAATAGGGGACCCCAATATAGTACCNNATAATCGGATCCTTATTATAAGGACCAAACTCCCATATAACGTCTGAAACCTTAAAGCCCTTACGTGCACGCCACACAAAACGCAGCCCGCCTCACGCAGTCGCCACCGTAAGACGGCTTCCTGCTCAAACAGTCGGAAGGACGGGCTTTCAAGAACAGGCACGGTGAGTGCCCCTCGCAATAGCCTGTTACTCATCGTAATGCTTGCACCCTATATCATCCTTATGGTTACTCTTTGACGGGGCTTTAAAGATGCTAATTCAGTTGCGACCTATCATCGAAGTTTTTGCACAATGCTGTCTGAGGTCTCTTCCAGGGGCGAGAGTCTGCAAACCCCAAAAGCCGAAGTTGCTTGAAGGATGCAGTCAAACAGAAGTCTCACTTAAGCTTGTGTGTAACTTGCCGAAGGTCCATGCCTCAACTCGAACCGCCAAGCTCACAAAGAAAATGTGTTTTTCCTGCTCGAGTTTTACAGCAAACCAAGCCCAAAAGCTCCAAGTGCCAAGCGTACAAACACTACCTACTTTGGGTCTTACAGTCTGTAGTGGTGCCTAGTTTGTTACATCATCTGCGTCTGGCTGTTTGGGGTGTTGGGGCAAGCTGTATGCCCAAAGGCCGCCAGCAAATCACAATTTTAGGAAGCCGATATGCCCGTACTATAACTCCTCGAAGCTCTCGAAAAGTCTAAAGTTTCATGCCTCCCAAATCCTAAGCCCGAAGCTCTCGACCCAACACAGTCGAAGCGCAACATCCAGAAACCCAAGAAAGAGCTCTTGTCCCTGATGCTATAAGGTCACAAAAAAGAGAACGAATGAATAACACAGGAACAAACAAGAAACCTGTTTAAACAAATACATGAACAAATAACGACATAGCCAATACATACATACATACATACATACATACATACATACATACATACATACATACATACATACATACATACATACATGCATGCATTCATACACACATACATAC